CCACTGCCCCGTACCCCTTCCCCCCACTATTCCGTGCTTCTGTTTCGCGCTTACATCCAAACCACCGGACTCTTGCGATCCATACAGCACGATCTGCTGGATCTCAGTGGACTCAGAATCTTCCAAGTTGGCTTCGATGAACATGGTAATTGACTTGACATTTTGAAACTACACAAGCAACATTTCATAAGCAACATTTCACACCCCCCCCCCTTCCCTCATTTCCCGCATTACGTTAACGAATCTTAATGGTACACGCTCTGCCTTGGTGACTTGGTCCTTAGTTAGTTCTAAAACCTGTTGGGCTTTGATGTCTTCCACTTCATCAAAGCTAGGTAAATCTATATTCGTGTATAAGCGAACTATTCTCGGACCATTCGTAGCTCCTCCACGAAATGATATTTTGCTAATCTTTAACGGACTATGAAACTCAGTACGTATGATCATCTGCCCATCCTCTACCGATCGTATAACTTCATCAAATGATTCTTTATGGCCACCATTCAATACCTCAAACGTGGTCTTGTCTACACAACCGTTCAAACTACAAACGAAAGGGAGAAATGAACAGGAGGATGTTTAAGTTAAACCGGGTGATGCATTACACTTTTTCCGGGAGCATATTTGACGACAAATTTTTTAAAGAATTTCTAGAGCTTTAAGAGAGGTTCTATAAGGATGAGTTTCGGGTAGAATTTTATCCAATTCTTCGAGTGTGTCTTCCATCTCATCCACGGACCCCAAGTTGGCATATGCACATGCCATGTTCACCAGGTCTGTTGGCTCCTTCGTCTCTGGCATCAGTTCCAGAGCTTTCTCGTACGTCTTCGCATGCACTGCACAGACCGCGCGTAAACTTCTCATATATTTCGGACTCTCCTCCCCCGACGATCGCAGCCCAAGGAAATCCTCCGCGTCGTCACAGGCCAACAAAGCATCCCGATAACAACCCCTCACAAACTGGATCCACACCTGAGCTATCTCCGGAATGCCAGACTCACCGTTCTAAAACAAAACACGACCGTCACCAGTTTTTCCGGCCACAGGTCCTCCCGGCCACATGTCCTCCCGGTCACACGTCCCCCCGGTCACACGTCCTCCCGGCCACACGTCCTCCCAACCGTTCACACGTCCCGGTCATACGTCCATAACATATGACCACCGCGACAGTCGGAATCCAGTAAAGTTTCACAACGATGTGTGTGCCTTACGATTTTGGGAAACTCCTTTACAGCTAGGTCCGGTCTTGCAGCGGCAATAAGATATAGCACGCAAAGTGCCTTGCCCGGTAAAGTAGAGGCGTTCGCAAGTCGGTTGTAGGTCTCTGTGAACTCTGACAGCTCTTCCGGCTTCCGGGCTAGATCGCCTTCCAGGGTACATAGGCCCAAAGCATAGATGACCTCGGGAGCAGGACTGTCCAGGCTCCGGAGAGACAGCCAGGTCTGGCGGCGTTCAGCATTTGGGGTGCTCTGGTCAAGCAATTTCTGGACCAAGATTGCTGTCGGCGCTCCTTCGACCATCTCCCGGATCATCACACCCTCCACAGTCCCGTCCAGTTCGGCCAAGTGCTTCTTCACATACTCGAAATCCCCCAAATAAAACCTGTCTATGACCTACAAGTTCGGTGTTGGTGCGGGTTGGATGGATGTGGATCATGCATGGTCCGTATCGAGGGCTGGAGGTATAGATGGTCTTTGGGTGGGAGCATACTTGTTGAGGGTCCATTTATTCACTGAAAAAATCGTGCAAAAGTTGATAGGTAGGACCTTTGCAAGGTTCAACCACTAGAGCGATTTTTCTGATTGTCTCACCATAGGCTAGCAGCCCCGAGTGCTTTTGGATCTGTGTCTTATCATTGAGAATTTTATTTAGAACCTGGTCCAGTAATTCAGTCTTAACCGCGCACTTGCCCTGACCTCTCTTCTCGGACAATAGACACGCGACCAGGCCCTGAACCAGTCCGTACCTGTCTTTGATATCCCAGGAGGATGAGAGTTTGTTAATCCCGACAGTTAGCCAGTCTTCCACGTATCGTTCATCCGCACCCCGTTGGTCTACGCCAAGTTGACCAAGAGTATAGGAGCTGAGCACTTCTCTCACGAGATCGTGGGGGCTCTCGCGATTACTGCAGTAGTAGTGCGCCATGACCGGGAAGGCTTTGGGGTGGTACGCGTCGTCCAGTGCCAGCGTCATTGTTTGCTTTACGGCGCAGGCCACTAACCAGTCATTTCTGAACTCGTCCCGACTGTACAGGTTGTAGGTGTGTTTCAGTACCCCAAAGCTTTGGTACTGCACGTCGTGACGGAAACAGGCCAATAACGGCTCAAGAACGTCCTTCGCCAATGCAGTACGACCGATGTCGTAGATGTTTATTGGCTTAGCTATGAGACAAGGGACGTCCTTTATGAGGCCCAAAACGTGTCTAGCGTTCTCAACGCAACCGGCGACTTCCTTCGGCCCACCACGACCATAGGTGAAGGCATGGAACAACCGGCCCACCTGCGGGATTTCGTTATCCGCCGTCGTCTCTACCGGCGCTTCGATGTCCACTTGCTTGGCCCCGTCCTGCCCCCTCTTGTACCCGTCGTCGTCCACATGGTCGTCGTCCACATGGTCGTCGTCCACATGGTCGTCGTCCACATGGTCTTTCATTTTCGCAGCGGGCGCAAGAGCGTTGGTTGGTCGGAGCTCTCCATCTAGTTCGCTGAAACAGATCCAGCACAGGAGGTTGAGAGCGCCTTGAGCCGCTTTCAGGCCGAAAATGCGGGTGAGGTAGCGCGCGTAATCGGGGAACGCGCCCATATTGCCCATTCGGAGGCTGTAGTAGTGGAAGTCTTGGACATCCTCTTGGTGTTGTTGCAACCTTTTAAGGAGCCAGATCAGCCGCTTGGCGGCCTCGTCGTAGAGCCCGATGCCACAGAGCGCACGTGAAAGCGCAATCTCGAACTCTTGGTCCTGGGTGTCAAAGGAGGTCGTGGACTTGCCAGCCGCGGTCGCGTTGAATGCCGAATGGTACCGGACCGCCGTCGGAATATCGTTTATGCGGCAAAGCGCGGCGACCGCGGCCGAGCACACGTGTTTGTCAGCCTTGTCCATGTCGGCGCATACGCAAAAAAGTTGCGCGCTGGCCTCGTCCTGGCCCCGGTCGTGGAGCAATTGGGCTTTGGCCTCGTGCAAGTCGATCAGGGTGGGCAAAATCTCCAGCGCCTCTTCGAGCAGCGCAAATCCCTGTTCCCAGTCGCGGTCTAAACGCGCAATGACCATGGCCTTCGAACAGAGATATATCGCCTTGCCCACGCCTGACGGCTGTTTGTCGGCCTCGCACTTGACCCTAAATTCCTCCCAGACTTCCTCAAGCGACGCTTGCACCAACGCCCGCCTCGCCGCAACTTTAGTGTTGCAGAGAATCTGATACTCCGCGATCAACGCCACGCTGCCCTTCGCGATCCAGCGGCCGAACACATAGTTCACTTGCTCCTTGACAAAAGGATTCTCGGCAGATAAAAAGGCTATGGGGAAGAGCCTCAGGGCGTCAGAATTGCCATGCGCTAAGGCAAGTTCCAGGAACTCAGCAGAGAACTTGTTTTCGACAGATTCCTCCGCCAAACCATGGCCTACATTACCGACCCAGAACTGTCTCCACAGGTCCCCGCGGTTGTAGGCGATCCTCCAGATCCCACGGTCGGAGAGCTCCTTGACCTCAAACCCCGGGTACTGCGCCATGGGTTCCGTCACATAGAGCGACGAGCGCACTCCGCACGTGGTAAGTATATCCGGATATAGTCTCACGGGAATGGCTTCCGACCACGGCTGGCTCGCCCCCTTTTCAGTCGCCGTGTCCCCTTTATCGCTTGCCTGGTTGTAAGCGGGGAGGGGGAGCAGTTTGTGGTACTCCTGATGGGCGAGAGTGTAACCGAGCATGTAGTCAATGTTGGCTGGCAGGTACTTGATTAATTGAGTATAAGCTTTCCGCGCCATTTCGTAGTGACCGAGTCTCAACGCTACTCGGCCCAATACCACATTGGCCTGCGGCCGGTCTTTGAAGTCCAACTCCAGCTCCAGTGCGGCGTCCAGCAGCCGCTCCGCCAGCTCCAGTTCGCCTGCTCTCTCGTGCAATTCTGCCAAATAAATCTTAACCTCCGCCGTCCATAAGGGCGTCGCACTGTCCTGCACCTCCTGCGGCAAACGGAACCACGACCCTAACATCTGAGCAGCCTCCTTCGGACGATCACATAAATCCGCCGCCACAGGTACTATCATCCAATCTAATTTGTTGTTGCGACTAATCAAGAACGAGTTGCCTGGCATAGATTCGCAGTGTTCGTTCCCCTGTCCCGACATAGATGTCCGTGCCGCGGCGTGTGTGCACACGTGTGTGCACACGTGTGTGCGAGCGCCTACTTGTTGATGAAGACTTCTTGGCATGTCTTAAGAAATTGGAACGGTTTACGGAGATAGAGTTGGGCGCGGGCGACGTCCTTGAGGATGTACGCGGGTTTCTGGCTGAGCAGCGCGGCCTGTGTGTAGGACTTGAGGGCGAGTTCGTAGTTGCCTTCCATGCGGTGGTATCCACCAAGTGCGTGCCAGGCAACACCCGACTTGACATTATGGCGAATGGCCAGTTTCAGCGCCGGTAGCGCTTCATGGTGTCGCGAAGGCAAGTTGCGGCATACCAACCCTTTCATCGCAAGCCCTTCCACACAGGCCGGGTACTCCGCGAGCAACTCATCCAACAGCGTCACGCTCCTCTGATAATCCCGCTCCTCATAACACTTTTGGATCAAGTCGAACTTGCTCTTGCCGGCAGCGGGAAGATCCGCCATGTGAGTGAATTAAATTTACACCGCCCCCCGGAACCTCCACAAGATC